TACCATCTTCTGTGGCGAGCATTTAGGAGAAAGGCAAAATAAGTAAAACGGTTAAGGCAACGTCGCGTCAACTCGTTTAACGACTATTTTTTGGTTGTAGACTTTAAACGGCCTTAAGTAGGCTTAATCAGTCTCCACATTTCCCACTTGGACATCTGTGCGGAACTTGTATATTTGTCTCCATTAATTAAAAATTTCGTTACTTTGCTTTCGGCAGAGAATAAAGTTTTCCATCAACTGAACGTAGCTTTTGGGTATGAAATTTTATCGGCTTTTTATAGGCGGTGAACATTTATCAAGCTAGATAATCTCTTCTTCAATTGAACACGGTAAAATGACAGATTGTTCTTTGACCATCGCAAATGGTGAGGCCCGCCGTGAGGTCGAGTGGTTACCATAACCATGGCCCATGCGTGGATTCATCACGGCCGCTTCCTTCTTTTTTTCACCACATCCTCCTCGTTTCGATAGAGAAACAAGGCAGAGGCTAGGCGAAGATGCAGTGCTTGCCCAATTCAAACAGGCTGTCTACGCGTGCCACACACGTCCCCATCCCGAACCCCACTTTTGCCAGTTTTCATTCACCGAATGCTCTAGTATCAACTCCACGCTCTCCCCCCCACACTGGTGACCTGTACGAAGTCTTCTGCAGACTGATGGCAAGCTTGGACGCAGCGGCCGACGTTTTTCCCCTAACCTGAAATCTACCACATGCAATTACGTCTGACGCAGAGTCAGCGCTTCCGCGTTAAATACCAGAGAATTTAAATCATTGGCGTGTGAAGAAATTCTTAGAAGCGGCAATAGGAGTCAAACACAAAAAAGGCCGCTGATAAAAGAATAAACAGTAGATATACGACGCAAATCCAATTATATGTCCGCTTGATTATGACCTCATATTTATATCCGTGCCTGAGCCTTAAAGTGAAAGGTTTATACCTACAAAGGAAGCAGACCACAGTAAAATTCAACCGCTCATACACTTGCTTACATGTAAGTGTGGTATAAAATCGGGTCAACAAATCATAGATATCAATACCTACTGTTTCCCTTTCCTCAAACTCCACGGTTCATCAGGGAGGCAGAATAAAGACGAAAGCCTCCGAGTGAGACATGCAGATGCTTCTCCTGGCAGTTCGGAAGAAGCACCAGACGAGCGTCATTCTCTCTGTGCTTGTATTTACTTTTTGGTTGGAGCAGGGGTTGGAGAGAATTTTCCCCTTTGGGATCTGATGGTGCTCGACAAGTTCAAACAGAGAGCGCAAACCATAGTTTACCAGTAATACAAAAACTTGGTTGAGGCCTTG